TTTTACAAGCTGAATAAATCCATAACTCAAGTTTATTCCGAGCTGGCAGGCTGTCCCAGGGGAAGTGTTGCCCACTTGCCGGCACACTTGCGAGCCGTCCTCCGAGAGCAGCCAGGACATAGCGAGACATGTGTCATCCAATTCCCCACCCGTCGTTGCGCCGCTGCACGCACTTCAGTAGATTAGCGGCAGCACCGGAGAGGAGGCAGCCGTGAAAACCCCAAATAGGAGCTGCCACCAAAGGATGCTCTCTCCCAAAGGGAAGGCAGGCCTGAGCCAAGGCGTCCCTTTGCACAACAAAGCCAAGCCCCAAGGGTCACCGCTCTGGGGACAATAAAAAGCAGGGGAAGCAATAAACTTGGCAATCATCTTTAAGTCGGGGACTTGCCTGCTAAACATCACCAGAAGAGCATCCATTTCTAAATAACACTGACCTGAAAAAAACCCAAACCCCAGCTGCCTGGACCCGCAGGTGTTTTGTTTGAGACCTGCCACGGCTGAGCACCCTGCAGGCTGCTTGGGATCCACACAACCAGGAAAGCTCCTCCGCAGGGACTGCACAGCCCAGCGAACGACTGATATCTGCAGCACAGCCACCCAAACACACACAATACCAGCACAAGCCCATAATTCCCAACACTGCAACGATGCTGGCTCCCACATCTCTGCAGCTTTGTGCTCATTTCCAGTGCTGATGTTCCCGAAAGCAGGGCTCGAGGGAGAGAACAAAACCCCAACCATGCTCCAAAGCGCTGGGCTCATCTCAAAAGCTGTCGCCGCTCCAAAGCGGCATCCTTGCCATGGATGCTGGAAGCAGCTCTTTAAAATTCAGCAGCCTTTGTGCCTGACCACACGCAGCGACCTCTGGTATTTTCTGCCAAAACAGTTCATTTGTCTCGCACAACAACTAATCAATTCCTGGGGCCATCCATCACGGGGGCTCGTGCAAGCCGGCCTGGCAGCGGGGCCAGATGGCAGCTGCGTTAGCGGGATTAATACAATTCTGATAGATTACACGGCACCAGGCAGGCTCCCAAATACGAGGGGTGCCCGCTCTGCACCCCAATCCTAAATGGAGCAACACTCATGACTAGAGTTGCTCCAAGCATTATGGGAAAGGCGGAAGTTTCTACTAGAAAAGGGGTTCTTCAGCATCCCTCGGGATGGCAGTAGCGTAAAGCATAGCTCAGGGAGGCCACTGTGCCAACCAGTGAATGTCATTCCCATCCCGGCATGCCGTGTGGAAGCAGCCCATGGCAGAGTGCAGGAGGGCTCCTCCAGTGGAAGTGGAAAGAGACACGGACATTTGTCAACATTATTTCACATTCTCCATCTGCCAAGTCAAAGCTTTCATTTGCTGGAAACACTTACAAAACTGCCTCCCCCTCACCCCAACTAAAAAAAAAAAATATTGAAAAATAACTTTAAAGTTGGATTTCCAATTCTACGCTGTTTTCACCATCTCCCTGAGTTTGTGTCTTAGATTAGATTTATATTGGTGACACAACAGTCAGCCTCATCTCACTGCTCATTTCCCACGTTTATGAAACTGTAATTATAGCTATTTGATCATGAAAGAGCTCAACTACTACTGCTTTTTTTCTGGTAATAAGAGCAGAAAAGACACAAAGCTTTATGTAGCAGTAAAAAACCCCACCACTATACCCAGCCAGAAATCACAGACAACTTCTAAATATTTCCTTCCAGGGGAACCTCCATGTCCCACCATCAGTCCCACCAACCAGCATGCACTATTTTTATGTAATGCCCGAAGTGAGATAAGTGATTTGCAGAGAAACACAGAGGCAGAGCACTACGCTAATACATCCTGCAACTGCTCCCCATTAGTCACTGGGGGTACTTGAGCTCTTTATTGCCAGGGTTTATTAATGACTCCTAATTGATGACCAGTGCCCAGCACCCCAAAGTAAATAACTGCTACGCCACATTAGCTCAAAAGACCTTCTCCTGATTTGAGGATTGACCTATGAACACACGAATTGCACTGATTTAGCTGAATCTCTCTAAATTGATTTAATTAGATCGGTATAACCTGTTTCTATGGATGCTCTTGAGTTTATTTGTAATCAGGGCAATGTACTTCTGTGAGCTAGACTGACTATTTTTCTATCTTGTTCTCAAAGCAGAAACATTTGAGATAATTAGCAATAAGGCAAAATCAGCCCTGGCACCATCCCAGTTCCTCCTACTTCTGATCCACCTGACTTTAGAGTACAGTATAGTAACTCCACTTTGTCCCACATTTACAGATTTGCATCCTAAACCCCAAGCATGTCATTCCACAAAAGGAATGTAAGCATTATTTATGCATTATTTTAGACACTCAGTTGAAAGCAATGGCACTGCTGCTTTGCTTGATAATTTACTGCTGATGATAAACTAATGGTTTACACTATTTAAAACAAGATCTCTCATCTTCCTATTATGTAGCAGCAGCTTGGAGAAAGTTAATTGTTTGATAAACCATTCAAAAGCCTCTGGTAAGAATAAAGTGAATCTGCTTCGGTGAACCTTCAAAACGGTGTACCTGCATTCTCGTCTGTCTCCTGGTGCAAGGCAAAGTTGTGACGATGCCGGGCTCCAGATAAATTAGACAGCCTTCTCCTGCCTTTGTATCAGCAGAATCCTAAAGGGCATATGGTAGGCTGTGTTTGGCAGAGTAATGCCTGCTGAGAAATTGCTTTCAGCATTCTGTCATAACCCAGGGCTGATGAGGACTCGAGTTTCAGCTTTTAGTAAACAAGTTTGTTGTTGGTTTTTTTTTTTCTTATTCTGGGCTTCCTTAATATCATCCTATAACTAGAAAATACTTATCCTATCAACAGCCCTGGGATACAGGCTAAAGTGGTTTCATTTATATTTCAGTTTTTGCAAGCTTTTTGTGAAGCTTCAGTAGGCCCATCATAGACAACTGAGTCAATAAAATAGTCTGCAATGCTTCTTTTCTAAGACCTTAGGTTTTGAGGTAGCAGACACATACACTCTGAACTTACAGCATGGGACTTACCCATAACTATCAATGTGTTTAAGTTTATGCTGGCTCAAGCTATTATATTTTCTTTCCTCTTAAACGTTTTCATTTTCTTTCCTCTTAAACGTTTTCATTTTCTTCCTCTACAGAGGATAATACATGGGCAACTGCACTGAGAAAGCTGAAGCTGTACAACTTGCATGTGGGTGAGATTATGACGACACTTGCTCACCTCCTATCTTGCAACTGGAGACATTGATGCTGGCAAGCCAAGCTATGCTAATGGACCGCATGAGTTTCCATTCTGCAGCACAGTCAGGAGACTTCATTTAACTTACTTTCAGCAGAATCACCCTATTCCAGCTGTGTCAGACTACATCTGCTACAGACTCATTTTGTAAAGACTACAGCTATGCTACACTAAACATACAGCACACATGTTCTTCATGGTGTGTTTACGGAGAAAAAAAAAGTGTTTTCAGAGCTATATTTGTCTTCCAGTCCTGCACAAGTCATGTTCTCATGGAAATAAAAAAAATACGACAACAAGACTTAGACTAGTCAAGCCGACCAGAACAAACTCAGTTTTCCTGTATATTGTGCTCTATTTCATATCCAAGAAGGGGCACAGGCAGTACTTGGGATAGCCAAGATTCTGAAAGCACTGTAGGACTGAGCATAGCTCATACTAAGCAGCCAACATTGGGCAGCACTGACATGCTCTACTCCTAAAAGAGCTCAAAGGGGATTTAAATCACAAGGTCAAACTATAAGATCAAGGATGTTGGCAGAGACCTACATTGACAGAGCAGGGAAGAAAAAAGGAGCTGGTGGCTAGCAGAAGTGCTATTCCTCAAACAGTGCGTTAAACCAAGGTCATACCTGACCACCTCTAGTCAAGGTCCAGGGGCAAGTTAAAGATGTGTTGGCTCTCCATGTAAGGCTACTCCTGGCCAACTGCTCCATCTCACTATAAAGCAGATTACAATACCGAGGGAAGTGCCCGCAGTACCGCCAAGCAGAAAACTGCCACCCTATTTGCCTACACAGGACAGCCACATCAATTTCTATCCAAGCTACTTGCAAAGAGTTTGCAGCCACCTGCTCAAGATTTATTTTTCATTAGTTTGTGACAAGTCAAAGAAATGCTATATTGGATTTTTAACACTTCGGGAAAGTTCTCAGCAAGCTTGGGAGGCTGTGTTTAGAGAAATCAGTGTTTACCTTTTAATTTCCTAGGACCAAAATGATGCAAGACATTCAGTAAAACAAATGGGATCACATACACATAAATGGGTGACTGCAACATGACAGCAAACATTGCTCAAAAAATTTAGTCTCCCCTGACTATTAATCTTAACTAAAAATATGATGTTGTATTCTGAAAGATCCTCCAGACAATCATTTAGGTATTTGAGTTAATATTATATCCATGATTAGTAGTCTGGAACAGTAAAAAACCAACCAAACAAAAAAACCCAGCTGTCCTTATTCAGTAGCTAATGTCACCTACCACTTGCACCTTGACAGTTTTTAAATAGCAGCCATTCTAGCTCAGTAAATGTGTTTCTGCTATGCTAGCTGCAGAAGCTAGAAAAAAATTAATTTGATAAAAGGTACAAACTCTCCCTGAAGGCAAACATTGTCCAACATTAAAACCTTCACTGAACAATCCTTAATGAATGTATTGGTAAAGAAATAACTATTTGAAAAAGGTAGTGTCTGAATAGCTTTCTATTAAAAATATCCAATATTACCTTTTTTTAGCAATATAACTGAAAAATGGGAAGCCTTGCCCTTCCCCCACATCTTGCGCTAGGGAAAGGTTACTACCTGGCAATGATACAGGCAGTTATTGATTTAAATGATTATGGACCTGAAAAGTTCTTTCCTGTCATTTATTATCCTGTTGTAGTTGCCACGACACTTGTGCAATACTAAAAAAAAGCTTAACAAAATTACACAAGAAAAATACTGGTTTTAACTGAAGTCCAGCACAGATAATCACCTGATTGTTTCTTCTTGATATAACGAGCTGACAACTGGGCCTCCAAATGCAGTTTTGCTTTCCCTTCCCCTCTTCTCTGTCATCTGAAAGAAAAAGAAAGATTGGTCCAGCATGTGCCACCCCTCGGCCATCTCACATCCCTGCCCCAGAGATGGGATCGGCCCTCTGGAATCCCCATCTTTATGGCAGATGGTACCCCACGACCCTACTCCACCCAGAACAGCTGGAAGGATCTCTCAGCAAACCGGATCAATGCTCCTCTGAAAGTGGCCCAAAAGGGTCACCCAAAACGTAGGCTTGGCCACCTCACCATCCTGCTCACAACAAGCCAAAGCGTTGCCTCCACAGCACTCCCAGCCATGGCCCCTTAGGACCCAAAAGCTGAGCCTCTGTGAGGCAGCATAATGCTATGTTACTAGATTGCAAAGCTTGCCTTTATAAATCTATTTAATATAGATTTAAAATTAAATTTTATAATGGGCAGCATTTCCAAATGATTTACTCCCAGGAACTCTAGGATTCTGAATGATTCCCACTGTAATAGAAATGAACAATTAGAATAATGATTGATCGATACGGAGCCTCAGGCCTACCTTTTCAAAAAAAACATCCTGTAGCTCGGGATCTTCGATTGGCTGACTTCACACTGATGCCAGACTTTCAGAAAGGGCTAAGTGCTTGCTGTCTGAAAGCCTGACCCTATTTTAAGGGTTGCAGGGCACCAGAAACCCTAACTCTAAGGGCATCTAGTATCTCAGTCTTCGGGTAAGCAGTCAAAAGCGGTTTGCAATTTGCAGCACTAATTCCTTATAAAACCAGCCCATGAATTGCAACGTGCTGTTGTCAATGGACAGTTCTGTGAATTTCTGTGACAAGAGATTATAAAACCCAGGGTGAATAAAATCAGAAGCAAACGGAAAGCCATCCCAACCACTAGCAGTCTCTCAGTAGCTGCGATACATTGCTGATTACACCAAAAAGCATTGCTGCCTCATCAGACTACTACCTAGAAAGATGTTGATTTTTTTATTATTATAACATGCTTACATTTGTTTTTCTTCTTGCTCCCTAGGTTGTTTTTGTTTTAAATCTATTTCCTGTTTCCCCATAACACATTTACTTTGACATTCTCCACAGTCTGAGGAACCAGTTCCACCTTTCAGCTCTCCTGTACCAGCCCAAAGCCATAATATTTGGGTTTGCAGATATCACAGACATACTTCATAATAAGAAAAAATGGAAAAGAAATTGGCTTTGAAAACTGTTCACAGGCAAGTAGGCTTTCTCTAATTTAGAGTAAAAGATGATGTGAAGTTCTCCTTTCCTGAAGGGAAAGGGCTTCAGAGTCTTTACAGCGCAATGCCCCTCTTAAAAAAAAAAAAAAACACAACAAAAACTGTTTAGCAGAGAACCTTGCTGTCCATCAATTATTTCCACACCACTTAAAGAAAATTAATTTCAGATCATCTGCCAGTACACGCAAGAGTTATTTCTATAACATGAAGCTATACTCACAACCACTCCATCTTCTCTAATATTGAGGGACGGTGGTCATTCAACCAGTATCAGAAACCACAAAAAATTTTTAATCTATATTCTTTCATCTCTTCCCACTACAGTTTTTGGTTGTTGCTTTTTTTCAAAGTCAGAAACAACACTTGTGAAAATACATTTCATCTTTCCACAGGGCAGAAATTGTAAAACAGGTTTCTTAGATTAAGTTCACTTTCTTTGCACAACCAGTGCATTTCTACCAAAGATTAATCATGTTGATTGAGTACACATAAGGTCATTGGGAAACTTAGCGATAAAGGCTTTCCCAAACAAGCTCAGGCAAAAACTTCTCGGGCTCTTAATCCATATACAGGTTACTTTGTCCAAGTAGCTTTTATCTCATCTCTTTCACATAGAAATAGGTAACTCAATATTCAATTTATGAATGTTGAACCAAGCTTATTTCATCACAGTCCTCAATATGTAGAATAAGTTTATGAAAAATGTACAGGAAGAGTATCAGCTATCCTCTCAGGATTTAATATGCACCTCTACTCTGCAAAGACATGAAAGACAGCATTGTGGCTCTACCATTCATCACCACTGGACCTCCCAAGGGGAATCTGTCCAGGCTACGAGGAACACTTCTCCCCAGGAGTGTTAACTCTGCCTCAACGCAGATACAAACTGTTTTTTTTCCAGCTGCCCTTGACAACTTACCTATACCATGAGCTCATCTGCCTGCTTCCAATATCTATACTACCCAGCCTGCCAGGGACTTGCACCCAATACCAGCACAGTGTACCATACTGGGTAATGAAAGAGGTGGGACAAAGCAGTTGCTCCTTCCAAACAACATCACAGCTACTGCACTAACTGGAACCAGCGGTTTTATTCATCGCTCACATGAGCTGATGAGTAACATGCAGATGCACTTTCCTTCTCAAATCTCTTTACACTTCTACAACAGAAAAGAGCTTTTAGAGCTGAAAAGATAAAAGGAAACACTACATATATACAGATAATGACCAGTGAGTTTGAAGTCACATTAGCTTGCAAACCACAATGAAATTAAAAACTGACACTGTACATTCTCTTTCCTCCTTTAAAAAGGCACTAATAATTAACTGTGTGGCTTTCTTAAGCCAAGTCAATTTCTTGCACTGCTGGCAGTGCTGTCCAAAAGCACTGCAGATACACATGTAACTAATGATAGTCAAGGAATAACATGATCCCAGGCTCCCATAATTTGCAACCTGAATCTGAGAAAGATGACAGTAGTATTATCTGCAGTCAGGACCGTGTAAGAGAGATGCTGTAGAAAAGGCAAAATTACTGTGGGCTCCATGAGCATGAGGGGATGGCCCTCAAACTGCCAGTTAAAAACTGTGAGAATAAAGGGGAATTTGTGACAGTATAGGAAGAAACCTTGCAGGATTGCACTCGAGTGCCAAAGCACAAGCAGTAGCATGCAAGAGATCTTGGAAGAGATGATAAAGAAACGTAAGAGATGCCTTAAGAGGCACTGGAATTTCTTGTGTTTTCCCCTAACTCTTGCCTATTGATTCTTTGCTGCTTGTGTACAATTAAGGCTGATATCAAAGTCACTATTACCGTTGACAGTTAACTTTGGAGGTGGATCTGGTTTACCAAAGCTAGCATAAATCACAGGCAAATATGTGCTTCAGTATGCAGCATACACACTCATTAAGAGACATTTTCAACTCCCCTGACTCCCGATGGGCTCACGGACTGGCGCAGGGAACTCCACTAAGCCCAGAACTATCCTTCTCAAATGTCACCCAGAATACCAGGAGAAAAGGCACACTCCTCCCGGAACAGACAGCAGAGCATCCTCAATCCTGCCTCAGTGCACTGTATATGTCAATAAAAGACCGGCTCGATTCAAGGTACAATCGCATCTCGACTGGCTGTCACTGACAATGCTGCTCCAGACTGCCTCAAAGCCTGACAACCACTTTCTGAGCAAAATGGAAATACAGGGACTAATATTTGCTAACATCATTAATTCATTTTTTTTCCTCCACTCCCCCTTCTTCCTTTATCCGCGATGTCAAGATGTATACCTTTAAATTGTTGTCAGCCATAAAACAGACGTCGTGTCCCAGTTCAGAGGTTAACATATAATGACAGACACATTAAAAAACCCTGTCCAATGCCTCACTGACAATTTCAGCTCCATCTTCTCTTCAACAAGACAGTAGCTCAAACTCACTTATAAGCTTTAACAACATTAAAGTCTAATCATGATTGAAAAATAAAGGAGAAAGAAGATAGTTTTATCATACTAAGCATTATGGAAACAGAAAACAATTAGACACAAACATTTTCTTTGTGAGGGTTTTGAGTTCACCTTCTATTTTGGTCTTAAAAGTCTCCCGCGATCACAGCATGATCCATTGCTCTTCTTGCATTTTTGGAGAGCAGGATGAAAATTATTATCTAAAGAGGAAGATTGGTAGTTCCCTGTCGGGGCCTGGTTTGGTGGGCCAACCTCTTGCTGTATCCCTGAAGACAGGACAGGCATTTATTATTTTTCATCTCTGAGCCCAAGCTTTGTTCCAATATACGCTAAATAGGCTACAACAGCTTTAACAAGATGGCACTTCCAAGGGCCCTTCTGATGACTCACTTCAAACTCATGTGCCAGAATTCGTTATAGCCACACAAGTGAACTTGCCATCAGTGACTGGGACTGAACTGGACCAAATGGTACATGCTATTTTACACATAGAGCAAGGGACTCATGAATCTGGCAGAAGGAAAGGTACAGAGAAGTCCTACAAAGATACTACAAAACAGCAGGACTAGCACAAGTTTCAGCAAAGCTTTTAAAAAAATCCCACAACCATAACTTGGAGTTAACAGAAGAGCTAGATCCTAAGCATGGGTTAAATGCAGGCATCCAAGTTTTATCCAGAGCAAAATGAGAACTCTGCCCGGCTAGTTTTGCATGTCCAGACACCCAGCACAAACAGCAGCCATAGCTGCTTGGCAAGGGACATGGCTGTGCTGCACAGCACATCTGTCATCCCCCTGTTTCCTCACATCTCACTCTGGCTTTTCTCCACACTTGAAACCTTTAAGTAGCTTCACATAAATATATATTTAAGGAAAAAGAGAAAGCCATTAGCAAAAATGTTCATCTCATCAAAATAGTTATCTTCTGTAATTAACAAGGGTGCTTGCAGGGCTTTGGGGTGCAACCAAGGGTCCTGAGCCACTGAGCCTGGAGGAGCTGCAACAGCTGGATGTTTGCAGAGGTCTGCTCAGCAGGGGCAGGAGAAACCCTGGCCTGTGTCCTAGCTACCCAAACTACACCTGGGAGGTGATCAGCAGCTCCAGACTTGGCTGCCATGAATGGACAGGCAATGTCCTGTAACCCTGTCAGGCTCACATGAAGGTACGAGTAAATCCCTGAAGTGTGCTGATTGAATTGTAATGAAGCTGGTATAGTCTCAGGTGACAAATTTTACAGAAGACGCTTCACGGAGTTAACCCAACAGTAGACCTCAAGGCCTGCTTTGTTGGCCACCATGTCCCCTTAATGCTCTGGATTAACATTTCT